TCGCGGTCGATCCGAGAATTCACAAACAAAATGCCATTCTGCAGATTCACCTCCAGAAGGTCCCCGCGGCCCTTGGACGCCACGCGAAACAGGCGCGGCACCAGCTCCGCCAGCTCCAGCCCCAGGTCCTGCGCGATGCGGCCCACGAAGGTGCCGTGCTTGGCCTCCTCGGGGACCGAGTAGTGGAGCTGCCCGCTGCCCGCCTCCCAGGCGACGAAGAGAAAAAGGGAAAAGAATAGATGCCAGGAACTCACTCTACCTTTCGGAGTAAAAAGCATGTCAAATACCAGTGGTTTTCTTTCCATCAGAAGGTTCTGTTTGGGCGTAACAGTGAAATATTGTACGATCTCGAGTCTATGAATCCAATTCGGCGTCCGCCATCTTTCAGCACTCTAGGAAGGAGGCTGTAACTGGAGAAAGTGTCTTTGAATGTTGGCCAGAGGTAACTTCGTGGTAGACAGCGACATCATGCGGCTCCAAAGAGTAAGTAAGACTTGAATCAGCATAATCCTGCACTACTGTCATACAGAATTCTTCTCAATTAAAAAAGTTTCTTCTTTTGCCTTACTTTATAATAAATCCTCCTATGTTTGCTGCTTGAAGAATCATTTGCATGCCGTCTTGCTTATTAATTTACATCGATTCAGAGATTTAGTTTTCCACATCAGAAAAATTTACATGTCAAAAATGTTAAATTATGCTGTCAGCAAATTTAGTAGATTTAAATGATCCATAATAGCCACGCGGAAGCAGTGTAAACTAGCCAACATACTTTGTGCAGAGAATACATAAATGCTTGTATGTTTGTTCCGGATAATACTAGTTAGTATATGCTGTCCTAGTGCATAGCATAATTTTGATTAAAATTAAAAACTTTATTACGTTCCCTTTTCTTTTTTAAATATATACCACATATTCGTCATGCTGTTGCCTTAATTTGATAGTGCAAGAAGAAACTTTGCTGCATATTATTTCCAACATCTCTTAATTTCTCAGCCTCTGATATGATATAATCATGTTAAATACATTTTCCTCCTTGCTACTCTCAACCACTGTTAATTCTAGTGGAATTTCTACTCTTTCATTCAGTTGCTTCTAAATATCTTTTTCTGAAGTTAAAGTTTCATTCCACCTATTCTTTGCATTATTTTCTTTTGAATGTTCTAAAGACATTCCAAAGTTTTATTGAAGGTATGTCCCAATCCACATCTCCATCCCCTGTGATTGTCTTATAGAAAACAAGTTTATTAAAATCAAAAGTACGATGGAATGATACATCCCCAAATGCAAGCCCTTGAAATTTACACTCTGTATCAATGGTATGAACATTCTCCATGCGTTTTACATGAACTTTTTATTACTTATTTTCTTTCACCTATCATATTCAAAGTTGGATTTTCATATACCACCATATGTATCCTCAGGAATACAGCTTTTCATTGAATTTAACTAAACGTAGAAATTCCAGTACATTAGAATCACTTCCAGGGGACCTAAACTGTGATCATAAGCCAACTTTTCCTGTTATATTTTCAACTTCTCTCCAATATTAATCTATTTTACAGACAATATATACCATATCCTCTTAATCTTTATCATACACCCTATATTCAAGCATTTAAAAATATCTCCATTTTTACCTCCAAAAAAGGTTACCTTTACATCAGAATAAAGTCCAAATATTAACTTCAATGTAAATTTTTGCTTAATATCATCTGTTGGGAATAGCCCTGGTGGCATAGCAGACTAAGCATTGGGCAGCTGACCACAAGGTCAGCAGTTTGTAACTACCAGCCCCTATTTAGGAGAAGGAGAAGGCTTTCTGCTTCCCTAAACAGTTAGTCTCAGAAACCCACAGAGCAGTTCTACTCGGTCCTGTAGGATCGCGTGAGTCAGAATCCACTTGATGGCAGTGAGTTTGGTTTTTGTTTTATCATCATTTGGAAGTAACTGAACTCTTCCTTGGGAATGAAAACATTAGAGTCATCAATAGGGCCTTTCAAGTGACACATGTCCACTCCCTTCTTCTAAAATTCTGGACTTTTTTAATACCTCACAGACAATTGAAACAGATGACACTCTTCCTCTAGAAAAGTTCTGTCCTAAAATAAATTGGTTCAGCAGTTAAGCTTTGGACTCTCAAGGCAAATGCTTGGAGGTTCAAACCCAATAACTGCTCCTCAGGAGAAAGAGGGCAGTCTGCTTCCATAAAGATGCACAACTTCACTTTGGAAACGCTATGTGGGTACTTCTGCTGTTTCCTATAGGCTTGCTAGGAGTTGGAATCAACTTGACAGCAGGGGCTATGTGCCTTATCTTTGACTTTTTAAATTATAGCTAGCTATTTGGTGTAAGCAAAGCTCATCTTTACTAACCAATTAAATATTCTTTGGCTCACACAAAGATGTTGTAAGTAAGTGCTTGTTAGGAGACCCTGGTGGTGCAGAAAGTGAAGCACTTACTACACATTGCACCTTCAGAGGACAGGCCTGGTCCTCCGCTTCTGAAAAAGTCCCAGCCTTCTTGAAAGCCCTATGGAAGTCACTCTGCACACTTGGGTGACCATGAGTTTATGAAGAGAAACCTTCACAAAAGATACATTGGCTTGCAGCCTTTGGGTAAAAGTTACCTAACATTTCAGAAACTTTGCTCTAAATAATCTCTTTGAATGTCAACTTAAAAATTTTAGTTAAGGAAAATATTGTACCTGTCTTATCATTGCAATTTGTAGAGATTTCCAGAAGGTTGAGATTGTAACCTAATCCCACTGGAACACCTGTAATAACTTATTGGCTCCAGGTATAAAACTATAAAATGTTACTGAAATTCTTTACATAAAATAAGGGAATGTGGAAAAGGAAGTATTGACCTTCTTCTAAGAAACACCTTACATTTGTCTTCATTGTGTTTACCCAAATAGATGGTTAGTCAAGGAGAAAGATTATGTAGAGAAAAAAGGGTTAGTCACTTTCCTATGAGAAGTTTCCCCTTGTAGCAAAGAAGTTCAATGTTGTAATACATATCAAAGAGTTCACATTTCAAAACCAAATTAACTTGATATTTTAAAGTTGATAGTTGTTAAACATAGATTCATGCAGGATTCCCCAGAGCAATGGGTGTTAGAAATATCTGATGGCAACGAATGTACAAATGTGCTTGACACAATGGATGGATGTGTGGATTGTGATAAGAGTTATACGAGCCCCCAATAAAATGTTTTTTTAAAAGACAAAAAAAGAAATATCTGAATAATATGGTTGAAGAGTAGTTGTCAAATAAAATGGGTGATAATAAAAGGAATAAGCAAAGCAATAAATATATTTTATATTTTATCATATAAAGTATGGGATATTTATTATCTGCTAATATCATACTTTTTTCTCCAAAGAGTAGAAATATAGTTTTCATTATGTGAGATGAAGAGGACTCTAATGGTTTGGTAGTCTCGTATACTTTCTTATAAACAGTCTATTTGTATACAAAATCAAAACTGAAGGGGGAACTCCAGTTTATATCCTGGTACATACTTTTTAACTTTTATATTGAAAATCAAAAATAGCAAGAAATACTAATATATTCTATCCAGTATTCTAACCTAAATATGTTAGCATCTTTTAAACTGTAAGAGTTTACAACTAGTTAACAATATATTAATTTTTAACTGGAATAAAATACAAGTTTGAGAAAAATAAGATTTTTCTTCCACTAAACATTGATATTAAAGGAAAAGAAAATTATTATATACCCCTACAGTGAGACACTATAAATCTGGATGAGTCAGAAATCTCATTAAATAATTAATTATATGTCATGATCAGAAGATATTTTGATAAGTAAAAATATAAGAACAAGTTGAAAAGTGATTAAATATGTTATGTCATAGAGAAAGAAGGGGAATTTATTAGTATATAATGAATTTCTTTTGGGGGCCACAGAAATAGAAATGTTTGATGTGACCAAGAAGAATGTTAGATGGCTTAGTGATGGAGACGAAAGGGAAATTAAGGAGCCCTTAAGGGTGGTAGCAGTGGGCTATGCATTGAGCTATTAACCAGCAGTTCATGCTGCTGGAGAAAGGTGAGGCTGTCTGCACTCTTGAAGATTTAAAGTCTCTGAAAACCCAAAGGGACAAGCTGTCCTACAGGATTGCAATGAGTCAGAATGACTCCAGAGCAGTGAGTTTGGTTTGGGCTTGATCCTACTAAGCGATTTTACATCATGTAAATGTATTGTCTACTCAAAATAATGATTAAAATGAAGCTACAAAATGTATCAATATAAAATTCATCTTGAGGATGATAATATCAACATTTGAGACAAACTTTAAAAGTATCATACACTGCAGATATATTACTTGAAGAAAATAATCTAACTCGATATACTAAAAAAGCTAATAGACTATCTATGGAGCATTTCAAGTGGCAAAATGGACTTCCTGTTAAGTTATTTCCATACGATAACATTATGAAACTGAAAATTGGAGATAAGAGAAAATTTGTAAAATATATTTCTTATAATTGTTTTCTCATTTCATTACCTAAAATATTAAAATAAAATAATTAGGTAAAATATTTTACTTTTTGGAAATATATGAACTCATGGAAAAAATAATTACTCCATTGTTAAAAAACTTCATGCAAAAAAACCCTTCATGCAACAAAGTTATTGAATAAAATCTGATTAAAATACATGATGGACTATATTGAATAATATCGAGAATTACAATTACTGTAAATACGTTTTTGAGACTTACTATGTCTGCAGAGCTGGGAGCCTGTGGTAGGCTGGGGCTGAAGGCCATGAGGTCGGTCTTGGGCGGCCCCTCCCCAGAGCACACCCGCGGCCGCCTCTGCTGCGACGACGACCAGCTGCCCACCCCGCTCGAGCACACCAGCGCCGGCTTCCCCGGCCCGCACGCGCCCCCTGCGGCCGGCGTCGAGCAGCGCAGCGCCGTGTACAGCAGCAGCGTGAGCACCAGCAGGCTGGACACTGCGCAGATGGCGATGATCAGGTACACGTTCACGTCCACCAGCGCCGCCGCGCCGCCCGCCGCGCCCGCCGCCGCCGCCGCCGCCGCGCGCGAAGACGTCTTCAGCGCCTGGCCGTTCTCCACCAGCGACACCAGCACGGTGGCCGTGGCCGCCAGCGGAGGCTCGCCGTGGTCTCGG